AGGGTATATCCCAGTCTCTCCCAGTTCTCCATCGCAACCATTGCATGCAGAACGCCAGGTTAATCCAAACACACAAAATTGCTTAATCGTCTCTTCCAAATAAAAGTAATCAGCAACTGCCAGCACCAAAACCTGCATAGCAGTACCCTGGTGTAGCCCCTTTAATGGCTTGTCGAAGAATTCGCTTTGTACACGCAAAACGCTCCGCACTCCATGTTCCATGCTCCTCACTGCACAGCCACCGCAAAAAGCCAGACAAAAGTCTGCAAATTTAATTAAGGCGCTACCTCTATTCAACACCTTCCAGGCGTTCGCATCGCACCGAACGGTAGTGAGTAGTGAGGCGAATAAAAAGTTAATTTCTCTCCGGAGAATTCCTGGAAGCAGACTGGGTTCGGGCTGCAGAAGGTCCTACATTTAATTGCTTAAAAGCTTTGCCAATATTCGGTGTGCCGTGGGGCAGGGAGCCCCTTTGATCGACTAAAATGGTTATTACACGGCACGGAGCGGACAAAGCGGAGTTTCAGTTGCCCCCAGCTAGCCAGTTAATGACATTATAATGGCCAATTGTCCTGGCCGGCGGAGGAAACTATTGTAAGTGCAGGAAAATGCGATTTGTTTTCATTGGGAATTAGATTTGGGATATCTACCGAGCTATGATTATTATCCATGATTGGGTTACTTTTTAGCTTTTTATAGAATTAAGAAAAGTTAAACAACTTTTGCCGGTGCAGGCACTTCAGCTATGATTACAAGCCATCATCATTTCAGGCACTACACTCCCTCTTGGCCTGCCTTGTGTGATCACCTACCTGAGTTATCATTATCGCTAAATTCCAGTTGGCAGCTCAGGTTTTTTTCCTCCCGACCAATGAGTCTAGAGGTCTTGAGGACCTGAGCTCTCGAGCTCTCAAGGGGCGTGTCACCAAGCGCTGCCCATGAGTTAACACATAATTTGTTGCCGGTCAGGAGGAGGAGGGTATCAGGTTGCTTCTTACCTGTAGTGTGTGCACGCCCTCCTCTTCTGCCTGGCTACTGTGTTTTTGTTTACCCTTCCAAGGGAAACCGGGCGGGCTCTTCTGATATGCAAATATTTTCCCAGTGCATTGTCTGCCGGCAAAAAATCCTTTGGCGCATGGCAAGAAAAAATATAACCAGCGAGTGTGTAATGACTTTATTTATGACTCCGTCTCAGACAATAGCCCGGGGCCAGAAACCTGGACCGCAGCGATGCGATATTTGCATGGCAGAGTCATTTTCTGCTCGCCATCCTTTCGCGGGAGTGTTGACAGGCCATAAATACTCGCAGGACTCTGCGATTTAATGAGTTTCAGCTGATTTCACGGGAATTTCTTCTCGAATTGCGCCCGCCCGGCCTCAATTTAAATAGCAAAACAACCGGGAGCAGGCCAATTAATCATTGTCTCCTCAATTTTTCATTGTCACCCGAAAAGCAAGAGGGCTCGGTGAAGTTGACAATTTTTGGTAGGGCCCTCCATTTGTCTCCCCTCTGGTCGGATGGTTGGATGGTCGGACGGCCTATTTCATATTTGATGAAGCACTTTGTCTGCCATGTCCTGTCGGATGTTGGCAGCCTGGCTGGTTTAGAGCCGAAAAGTAAAACAGAATCTGGTCGTGGCGTCTATTCTGTTTCTACTGCCGGATACATTGAGAGGAGGGCGAAACCAGATTTCGACCCTCCTGTGGATGGCAACGAATCAAACCAGATACCAAAGACCGAAGAGTGCTCACCCCTCTGCCTGGCGTTCTATTCATTTTCAAATTTTTACCTGAGGGGGACAGAGGGCCATTGTTGTTTCGAGTGCCACGCGCTGGTGGCACAATAATAAAAATCTCAATGCCCCGATGCGAATGCCTCATCGCCTTTGATAAAGTGGACCCGGGCACACGAGGAGTTGCGAGCCCTTCATCGTGTTCCATTAAGGTTTATCTTTTGTCTAGAGCTCCCGTTTAGTTTCTCATTTGCATTCGAGGGGTTGCCCGCAGTTCCGCGTAAAAAATGTATAAAAAATTTAAATTTTTTATGTTTTTTTAGGAATTAGGGTAACTATTTGACCCTACAACTGCTAAACTGTGCATATGTATATTTTTAAATAGACCTTCATGACACTTTTCATAGCCCCGGCCCTCGGGCAAAAAAACGTTTCCTTTTATTAACAATCTGCTCACTCTTTGTTGCCAGAGCCATTTATTGGCCATTAAAAACATTTAATAACCATTATTTAATAAAGTTGATTGAGGCAATTCAATATTCTCTTTGCCACGAACTCAAAGCGAGAAAAAAGCTTAAATCGTACGTTTGTTGGCCGTCCAATTGGGCTCAAAGCGTGAAAGAAACCGTCAGTTCAAATACAACGTCGACTCTTGTTTGTGCGGATGACGATTGTGTAAATAAAATATGGAAATGTGAATTTTAATTGCATGCGATTGGGCAATATCCACAGGAGAAATCAATAAAGTGTCCCAGGCGAGCGCAGGTCCGAAAAGAAAACAAATATATCGACGACAATTAAAGCTTCATTAGTCAACATTTTGTGCCATTCACTCCAGGGCCGAGTGTATTTTTAGGACAGCCCTAAAAAGTAATTTATGCAGCAGGCTCGACCTTTTATGAGCTTCGCTACTGAAACCGAAACTTGTTAAATCTGTTGCCAGCAGTTAAAAATTTAATAAACGGCGGGCAGACAACGCCCTAAAACTCGAGTTCTTTGGGGCTATTGCGCGGCAGGTGGTCTACTGGCGTTGACTTTAAATCGATTTTAAATGACTTTAATGTGGGGGAAAGCCCAAGGTGATGCTCTGAGGGGGCGTGTTTTGATGCGAGGCCTACATAGATCTATCGGGAAAGTCGGTCAGATTGATTTCCCGACCGCAGTCTCGTGCCTAACAATTAGATACATTTTCATCAAACAAAGGTGTAACTCTACCCCGTGGCAGCTTCCAAGCATTTATATGTTTTGTTAGCCTCCTCTTCCATACCCATTGGCTGCCATGACGCATCAATCAATTGAATGTTTGAATAAATAAACAGAAACACACGGAATTCCAAAATCAAATATTCATTTATGCCAAAATGTAGAGCTATGCATTGGCACTGTTTCCATTCGGCTGTTGTATCGCGTTTTATCTTCGCTTTTAATTAAGTGACACTATGAAAAATAAAGAAGGAAACTTGTGGCTTTTATCCGGCAAGCGGAGGAGACAAAGCCCGGACTGTTTTTGATTAATCACGTACTGGGCCATTTCGAATGAATTTTAACACGAATCACAGTCAGCGGCAGCCCAAAGCCGCGCCGCCAATCAAATTAGCAGAAACAAAGAGATTATTTTGCTGGAAGCCGTGGCCGAATGTAAAAAACTTTGCCAAACAAATTGAAAATGATTTATAAGGCTCAGATCTGGGGATCCATGAAGCGAGCTTGTTACCCCAAAACTATGGGTTTATTAGCTGAAAAACGGAGAGAGCTGGTTATGCAAATGGACGACATTTCGATAATTTGTTTGGTAGTCAGCTCCGTCAACTGATTAGCAGATGGCACAGCCGATAGGCCTGGGCTTAGGTTTTATTATCTGCCTCGGCGCTGCTGGACATTTTCATAGCTAATTGCAATTAAGATGCCGCGTCCGCGATAAGCCAATGAGGTGAGAAAACAACATAGTGAGTTCGGACATTCGGATCTGGGCCTCCTAGTTAGTTATAGAACAAATATGAATGGCTTCAAAATATTAAACAGATGTCACACACGTGCACTTCCTACCATTTATCATAGGCCTTGTTGCCCTGTTATATCCCCAGTGCACATGCCAGTACAAACTAGTCATGTAATCACCGAAAATCATTTGTCAACGAATTCCGGTCACACCCAATAATAAGTCTGGCTAGTTATAAGATCATTAGCTCCCCTCTCTATGAGCCTCGGGCAATTGTTGGACCAGAAATCCTCCCATTCAAACACATCCCGTAAAAAGCAAATAAAACTATTGTCAACACATTGGTAAGGCAGTGGAAATGGCCAACAACCCAAAAGTCATCGGCGCCTGCGCAGCTGTTGGAAAAATAGTGAAGAGGGAACCTTTTTTTGGGCTCGACTTACCCTAACTTAGGTAGGAAGATTACAGGGTGCGTGCTGTTGTCGGATTAGTGGGTCTGGCAGACGTGGCGTGTTGCACATGGGGTAATTAAAATAATTTCTCAATGAAATTTTTACTTTTCAAGGCCAGCCAGCCATGTGTGGCGCACATTTCCAGGGGGTGGAAATACGCAAGTACTTACGCGGGAGAAGCCCGGAGTTAGCTGGAACCTAGGACAATGCAATTGTTGAGGCGTTATGTAGAGCGTGTCACGGCAACATCAAAAACCAGCCAAAAATCCCACATCCTGTGCAAAGTCCTTGACAGAATCAGGCTGCCGCCGACCTCATTTTCTCACTCTGTCCCTGCTACTCTTGAATATTTAATATTTTTGCTAATATCATTAAAAAGTTTCACTTTGTGCAGCATTCTCAGTGTTCTTTGTGAGTCGGTTGGTGTTGCTTTTGCTTCTGCTCCTGCTGCATGCCACATACCAATTAAAAACTGGAAAGTTGACAATTTTCTCAGGCTCAGCTGGGTGTGACGTTGGGACGGAGATGATGAAAATAATGTTGGCTATATGTATGTGTGTCCTTTTTAAAGAACTTGTAGCAAGGAATTGAATAATTAATGGCTTTTTGTTTGTTAGCAAAAGCAAAGGAGCTGTGGGTCATGGCTATTCGAAAAGGATTTTATTGCATACTCTACCTTAATTATCCCTGCACACGCGCGCATACTCGATTAACCCATTCAGGACTATTAGTGTGCTATTTATTGACCCCCAATGAATTATTCACCGCCATTGACCTGTAAACTTTGCACAATGCCCATAAATATTTACCTTTAATGAATCCTGCGAGTAACCACAAATCAATTTCCACTTTACTTTCAGGTTTTCGCGGCGACCCACACTAAAGCCACCAAAATGTATTGATTAAAGGTGAAACTAAGAGGCCCATGAATAACTTAAGTATAAAGTGTAGAATCCACAACTGAAAAATTATCAAAAGGAGTCGAAGAAGTCACGGGAGATTGTTTGTATAGAAAGGATTGAAGAGTGCCCCAGCAAAATGGCGGCACGACGTTGCCTGAGTCTGAGTCTGCCCAGGCAACGTGATTACACAACCAACAGATTTAATCTGTGCACCTGCGCGATACTTTTGATAGCCCTGCAATCGATTTTGGCCCAGGAGGAGACGACCTTCTCCGGCCTGTCCGCGGAAAATGCCGCTCGCATGCTGGCCGGCAGTCCCGGCGAGGTGGAGAAGCCCTCGCACCACAGCGAGATGTCCTTGGTCCTCCCCCACGACACTTATCCCGGCTTCAGCATCAAGAAGTTCAAGACCCATCCTGTGAAGGTAAACGGCACTTCCCACCGCGCGGAGGGCGCCGCCTACCACATGCTGGACAGCGACTACTCCAAGTACTTCACCGTGCTCGACGATGGAGTGGTGATGACCACGGCGGACATCTCTCCGCTGGTGAACCGCCCGGTCCAGCTGGTGGTAGTGGAGCAGACCCCGAACGTAACCAACACCCACAACCTGCAGCTGTTCGTGATGCACCGCAACGACATGCTGCGGTTCTCAGGCTCCCTGTTGGACGCCAGCGGCGAGGTGAGGGAGAACAGCCCGGCGGGCACCAGGGTCAGGGGCGTGCCCCTCATGCAGGCCTTCAGCGGCTCCATCCTGGAAGAAGAGCTGGCCAAGCCGAAGAAGGTGCGGTACACGATTATCGATGGAAACGTGGAGGACGCCTTCGCCCTGCAGGAGCGCAAGGCCAACCGGAATGTGCAGATGAACGCCAAGTCACTGGTGATCGACGGCGACGATGAGTCCGGGGTCTGGCTGGTCACCAACCGACCTCTGGATCGCGAGGAGCGAGCTCACTACGACCTCTCTGTGGAGGCCTCCGACGTGGATGGCCTGGATAAGACGGTTTCCAAAATCCAAATCACTGTTCTGGACGAGAACGACAACAGACCTATTTTCAAGGCCGTGGACTACAAGTTCGCCATCGCCGGGCAGAAGGCCGCCAGCATGGAGAGCAACAACAGCATTACGTACCAGCGGTTCGCCATCCTGGGAAAGGTGGAGGCCACCGATGCCGACGGAGATAAGATAGCCTACAGGCTGAAGACCCCCAACAACGTGGTGATCATTGTCCCCCAGACCGGAGAAATAATGCTAGTCGGAGAGCCAACTTCCAATGAACTCCTCATCGACGTCATAGCCCACGACCTGAGGTACCCCAGCCTGCTGAGCGCCCAGCCAGCCAAGGTCCTCCTGGAGTTCCTGGCCCCTGAACCAGTGTCCTTCATAATGCAGCACCTGGAGCACGACGAGGTGAACAGCCACTCGCACCATCGCGAAAAGCGCAGGGTCACTCGGGCCGTTCGACCCACCAAGAGGATCGAGTTCACGGAAGCCGATGGCGATACGGAGGGAAAGTCCGTGTTCCAGTTGGAGAAGGAAACGGATAAAGAGACGTTCAAGATCCGGGACGACAATCCCTGGGTGACGGTGGAGACAAACGGAGCTGTGCGCGTCAAGAAGAAGTGGGACTACGAGGAGCTGGGCCCCGAGAAGACCATTGATTTCTGGGTTATCATCACCAACATGGGCCACAATGGTAAGTCACTGTTTTAAAGATAATATTACTAGAGAGAGGGGCTAATAGATAGACCAACTTTCAGGCTGTTAAAGCAATTAGCAGGCGTTCACCGTACTTGTACAGGGATTGATTCAAACGACCACAGCCTCTCCAATAATCTTTCACATTAGCACAGAAATTTGTTCAGCACTTTATGCATAATTATGTGCGTCTGTGGTATTTATGGGGTATCCGAAAAATAAATGCGTCTGCATAATGAGGCTCAGACAATACCGCATTATGGAAATCGGGGGAGGAAATCAGGAAGGCCAGGGGAGGAGAAGAAATATTTGAATGGGTTTTCCAGTACTATGTGTTGCGTTAAAGCATTTAACATTTTAAGATAATTTAAAGCAATCTAAAATGAAGCTCAGCTCAGTGGACACAATCCGAATTAGGAATGGCTGAATAATTTAGTGTGTGCTGTTTTTATTGCAATTCGGACACATATACATAAATCACGGGAAAATTGCTGACTATCTTGTGCTCTCTGGTCCTTCTCTGCTCGAATGTCCTTCTATTTTTCTGTGTTTCCGTTGGCAGCATCTTTTGTTGCGATAAAATTGCAAATTGCTTTTCAAATATTTGGTTGACATGGCAAGCAATTACCTTCGATGCCAGAGAGAGCCGGCACTGAAAGTATAGAGGACATTTTCATACTATTCCAGCCCCGACTTGTTTCGACCAGGTCCTCTGTTGACTGTCATTCCAAGCGGGGATCAATAAGCAAATATTGACGCAACAACAACGGCATATCCCGTCAGCCATCAACTGAGCAGTTGTAAAGCAAGTTAGGATTAAAATCGAGGGCGTGCGGGCTGAATGCAGAATCCTCGAAAGCCCCAAAAACCGCACTTCCCGTCCACATTTTCCCACCCAACTCTGACATGAGTCAGGCGAAAAGTCCAACTGTCAGCTTTCTCTGCCAGAGTCCAAGCTCTTGTTGCAACCAGGACAAGTTCATGAAATGTTGAAATATATTCACAAGCCCATTCGCCCACACAGTCCGATTTAAACCAGTGGCTGTTGAAAAATGAAAAATAAAAGGCGGAAGTACGGGAAACACAGAGGAAGCTCTCCTCTGCAGTTTTCCGCATTGCCGTCGCTAATTGTTAAGGACAGTGTGGAATTGTGAGGACGAACTTTGGGCTTGGTGTCGAACCCTCACCCGCTTCCCGACTGTTCTGTCAGTCAATTAACTGTTTCCATCAATGTTGCAATTCTTTTCAATCACAATCTCTGTGCCCTCTACTAAATTGATTTTCATCTTCACATATCAAAGTGAGTTTTCCTCATTTTCCTTTCTGGCACTCGATCCAACTGCATCTAAAAATTAATTAAAAATTTATTTGCCAAGCTCAAAGGAATGGAAATGTCATGTCCTTCAGGTGATTGAACGCGAACCACTCTTAGCATAATTAAGGTCTTGATTATTTTTTGTGATGGTTTATTCAGTATGAGATATCTAAAACCACTTGACGACATCCTCACAAAAATTATCACTAAAGAACTCGCTTGAACTAGTGTTTAGTGTTTCAAGCGTTAACCAAAGGCATTTAGGATTTCAAGCACAGTATTTTCTGGGCTCTCAAAGGGATCCTGGCATCCTTGAGTTAATTTATGAGCAGCTTCTGGGAAAAGGCAGTCAGGATGCACACACGGCTCAGATAACAGGGAACGGAGGTCAGGGGACGGGGTGAGAGGGGCGAGGGAGGAAAAGGAAACCCAACTATGTAAAACACTTAACAAAGCATTGCACCAGCCAAAGGATAAAGAACAAGGACATGGAGGCTCGAGAGGCAGGGCCGAAGCAAAGGCAAGGCGGCCCAAGTGAACAAGAAATTTACGACAATATTTTTCATTCATTTAAAATGCTACGCTAATACACATGAGGGAACAGTATGGAAAAGGGTGGAGAGTGCAGGAGAGGGGCACAGTAGAGAAAGGGAGAGACTTCGAGAGAGAAAGGCTTTCTCAAATCGGAACGAGAACACCTGAAACAATGGTAATTCGAACATTTTGTTGAGCATGCGCCCTTCGCAGTTGAGAGAATCTCCTTTCCAGAGAGTGAGTGCACTCCGGGAGAGTGGAAATCTAAGGGTTGGGTTGGGATATTTGGGATGTATTTGAGAAGCAGTACCAAGACCAACAGGAAAATGCTCATAACAATTAGAAACCTCCTTACCTCATTCCCGCAATCATATGGAAAACCAATTGACTTTGGAGCCCCCCTCCATACGCACAATTTGGTATTCAGAAATCCTAGATGCCTAGAAGGGTTTTAAGCGAGGAGAAGATGAAAAAATGGGCCTTCATGATGCAGGACTTGCCTCTAAAAACTGGCATTTGTGTTCCTCTCAAAACACTAGTTCCTCATAGCGCATTGTTATTGCTCGAAAATGTATGCTACGTTTTTTTTGCTTGCATATCTCGTCCAAAGAAAAGGGTGGGAGGACGGGTGGGTGGCAGGTTGGAGGCTTTGACATTCCGTCACACACACATGCAGGCTTGGTAAAAGGGAAAAGGCATGTAATTTATGCACACCATGAAAAATGAAAACTTGCATGGACGGAAAAAAAACAAAACAAGGAAAAGAAAAGCGGGACGTTAAAAATATTGAATGCACAGCGAGAAATCATGGGTTGTTTGTAGGAACTTCATGCTTTAAAAATGTAGTGGGCCTTGAGTGAGTCCTTTAAAAATATCATGCACTTAGTTTCCTGTGCAACATCTCTTAGAGCAGTTTGGAATTCTTTGCCAAGTTATGCGCTATCTCAGGTGTAGTTCCCCAGCATCAAACTTCAAGGCATACCGGGTTGACATTTATCCCCTTTATTTGCAATTGTCAACTTTTATTGCGATAAAACTTTTTCGGGGCTGCCAAACCTGGACCGTACCCTGTACAGAAACTTCCAGTGCTCTGGGCCATAAACTGCAGCTGCTGGCCATAAAACTTGCACTGCCAAGACGGCAGTCCTGAAAGGGCAATCCTGGCTAAATACCGCACAAATTGAGGCATAGCCTGCGGCTGAGCCTGTGTATAAATTATGAAAATCGGAATTTAAGTTTACGGCAGGGAAACTTCTTGGAAGCCTCTTTGCAGGAATAATCGAGTCTGAGAAACGCCCACACACACGCTGGGGTGTAATGGAGGTAGAACTTGCTTAATTAAGCATTAATTTCATGTTTTATATGCAAGTCTGTGCCTTCCAAGAGCGCCGAGTGAGTGGAGCAAGTCAAAGGCCCTGTCTGGCAGCATCCTTCGTAATGAAAATTATTTAAATTAGGTTTATGTCGGCACAGTATGCATTGGCTTTGTTTCAATTTAATTTTAATATAAGTTATGAGCATACTCCGGCAATTATAGGAGGAATGCCGTAAGCTCTAGTGCGTAGGGGTCTCTAGGAATATCTTCTTGCGGCCGACTACTCTATGAACCTCTAACGAAGAAATTAATTTATTCAGACTTTGAAAATTTCCACAATAGTTCACAAACTCGGGCCACCCGATTTAAAACAACAGCGAGAGCCATTTGTGTCACATTCTGTACAAGTTTACACGGTTTGAAGGCCTTAAAATTTGTTAACCTGCAGCCCACATCTGCGCCATGCTGCCAGCTTCAGAAGTGTTTTGGCCTAAATTCCGAGTGGCGCCGCGGAGGGCAGCAGGACCAAGTGAGGTGGAGCCTAGAAAAAAAGTTGCGCTACATAAATTTTCCATGGCGGGGGATCCCGGTTGGCGGGCTAGGGTTTTCAATGTGACAGTCGAGTATCGCGAATATTAAGCAGGTTCGAGCTAACGACGCTCCAATTTCTGCTACATACACGATGAATACACAAAAGTATTTAACCTTCCCGGCACGAGGTGGAAAGTACGAGTCCCGTGATGAATAAAAAATGAAAATCCAAGCCCGTTTGACGTGCGATTTGATTGGGTTTTCTAATCTAATTGGAATTGCATTTAAATTGCTATCTTTCTGTTTTTGCCAAAATGTCATTGGCAGTCTATCGGCCATTATGAGGACCAGTTGGCAAATTATTTTTGAATATCTCACTTGAACTGTCAATGCATAGTTATGTCCATCTTTTAGTCTGGCCTGATCGAGAGATAAGTGCTTTTTCAGCTCAGAAATGTTGAACCATGAAAATGATTATGGAGTAATCGTGTTGTTTGGTGGAACAAGATTGGGAAATGTTTAATCCATCATCCAAAAACTAAATTAATATGTATCTCTGCAGTGTCATCCCCAAGGGCCACTCAAAACTTCAATTGTCATTTAATTTATTTAATCCTTGCATTAACCGTACACATAGTGTCGTGAAAATTGGTTTATAAAACACAAGCTGTCCTTCGGCGGCACTTCAAGTTGCCAATTAACTATTAATGCTCCTGACATTTTAATTCACAAAGTTTGAAAAGTGTTGCAACCGATTCAATAAATTTCAACACTTTAATGGAATTTCCATTTTGTCAAAGGTTCAATAAACAATGAAAAAAAAAATGAAAAAGTTTCAAATTACGGAATAATCGGAGTAGACAAGTGACAAGAACAGGACGAAATAAATGGCCCTGGCCAGGACGGGAAGGCAAAGGAGCAGAGCCAGAGACAGGGCAGAGGCAGAAACAGGAACCAAAGCTGAACCTGAAGCAGAAACTCAAACACAAATAGACAGGGAATGAAAGGCAGACACTGAGTCGCAAAACCAGAAAAGCCAAAACTGCCTAAAGGCAGCCTATCGAGGAAAGAACGCAACCAGACTCGTTCAGGGATACGGGGATACACGGATACAGATACAGATGTGGCAACAAAATGGCGTCTATTGCGACCATGTTGCCGTGGCAGCAGACGGACGGGAAAATTCGGGAGGTTGGACCGAGGCAGAGGCTGGCGCACTGCGTCCAAAAATCTCCGAGCACGGCTTAGTCTGTTTGCTTTGTAGTTTTTAGTTGCTGGCGACTGGCACTGGCACTGGCAGTGG